GTGACCTGAAATTCTTCATCGGAGATGACCAAATCCCAACAGTGTCTGAGCAGCCGGTAAAAAGCCTTGGAAGGTGGTATGATGCAAGCCTGAAGGACAAAGACCAGGTGCAACAGCTGCGCAAAGACATCAGTAGTAGCCTACAGTCCATCGACAACACCCAGCTACCTGGAAAGTTAAAGGCCTGGTGTCTGCAGTTTGGTCTCCTACCCCGGGTGTTGTGGCCCCTAGCAGTGTATGAGGTTCCAATCTCAACAGTGGAGAAGATGGAAAGAGGAGTCACGAGCTACTTAAAGAAGTGGCTCGGAGTTCCACGATGCCTTACCACCATAGGCCTCTATGGAGATGGTGTCCTCAAGCTGCCCCTCACCAGTCTAACCGAGGAATTCAAGTGTGCAAAAACCAGGCTCCAGATGACACTGAATGAATCTCGAGACCCAGTGGTGAGCAACAACGCGCCGACCTTGGCAACTGGGCGCAAATGGAGGCCAGGAAAAGCAGTCCAGGAGGCAACAGCAGCCCTCAGACATGCTGACATTGTGGGTCATGTTCAGCAAGGGAGAGGAGGCCTTGGGCTAACTAGCCGTGCTGCTTGGAGTAAGGCCACTGCACCAGAGCGGCGGAAGATGGTAGTGCAGGAAGTACGCCATCAGGAGGAGGCTGCAAGGTGGGCCAAGGCAGTCTCTCTTGCCAAACAGGGACAGTGGACTCGATGGGACAGTGTGGAGAAGAGGAAGATCAGCTGGAAGGATCTGTGGGCCATGGAAGCGAGGCGGTTGAGCTTTTCCATCAGAGCAACATATGACGTCCTTCCAACACCAGTTAATCTTCACCAATGGTATGGTGAAGATCCGGACTGTGCCCTCTGTTCCATGCCAGCCAACCTCAGGCACATTCTCACAGGGTGTAAAACAAGCCTCACCCAAGGACGCTACACTTGGCGTCACAACCAAGTCCTTAAAAACCTTGCGTCCGCCCTGGAGGACAAGCGAGCTGCCACCAACTCCCTACCACCCCCAGCAGCATCACACCCCTTACGGACGACCTTTGTCCGCGAAGGGGCTAAACCACCGAAGAGCGGCTCTACACCAATAGAGCGAGACCAGCTGCGCTTGGCCCGCGACTGGAAAATGCTAGCTGACATTGGCCGGCAACTTGTGTTTCCTCCGGAGATCGCAACCACCACCCTAAGACCTGACATGGTGCTCTGGTCCCGTTCGCTCAAGAAGGTCTTCATCATTGAGCTCACAGTACCCTGGGAGGACTCAGTAGATGAGGCTTATGAGCGAAAACATCTGCGCTATGCCGATCTAGCTGCCGAAGCACGGCATCATGGCTGGAACACAGAAGTCCGACCAGTGGAGGTGGGCTGCAGAGGTTTTGTGGCAACATCTACAACCAGACTGCTTAGAGACCTGGGAATTAAGGGCCAGAGCCAGCGTTCGGCAATCAGAGCTGTATCGGAGGCGGCAGAAGGCAGCAGTCAGTGGCTCTGGATGAAGAGGAAAGACCCCAGCTGGGCCCCAAAGTGAGAGGGCCAGGAGGTATGCAGTCAACAATGCTTGACTCAGGGAGGAGGACGCCCCTGCCATGCATAGTCCCATGGGATGTTGGCTATCAACAACAAGGCAACTCCTATGACTAATTGGGAATGGGACGCAAGCGTAGGATTGATCACCCTGTCGCTGGCCGCCTTTGGGGAGGGTGTATAGTATGAAAGGCCGAAACACCCTAGGAACCAAAGGTTCACTACTGACGATGCGCTCCCCAAATTTCACCAGGCTCACTGTTCATGAACTCTTGGAAGTGCTTGCACAAAGGATAGTAACATCTCATCCTGTGTTCTTGGAATCTGGTTGAAGAATTGGCCCAGCGCTGGTAGGCCATGTGGCCAGATGACGAACGTGTCATCTACATTTCTCTTCCACAAGGAAGGACGTAGGGTGGATGCCTGGATGGCATCTGTCTCAAGTTTTTCCATGAAAACATTGGCTACAACTGGAGATAAGGGCGAACCCATTGGGGTACCTTCAACTTGTTTGTAGAATGTTCCATTCCAGTTGAAGTAAGTGTTGGTGAGGCAGTGTCTAACCAGGGCCGGTACATCAGCATTCAGTCCTTGTTGGACCAAATATTCAGTGATTGCAATGGTGTCAGGCACAGGAACTTTGGCAAACAAAGATACATCGAAACTGACAAGCAAATCACCTGGGGATAGTGAGATGTCCTTAATTAGAGATACCAAGTGAGCTTAGTTAAGTACAGCTGAGCTGGTCTTACCAGTGAATGGTTGTAGCGTCTCAGACAGAAATCGGGCCAGTTTGTAGGTGGGTGAGTCAGTGGTGGAGATGATAGGCCGGAATGGCGTACCTTTATGGATTTTTGGTAAGCCATAAAATCTGGGTGATCGAGCAGCAGAGGGTTTTAAGGAAAGTCGCTTGGTTGGTTCGATTAAAGATGTCGAATCAGTGATGATGCTGTTGGTTTTCGTAACCAGGTGGTTGATAGGATCTCTTGATTTTGGTATAGCTGCCATTAGGTAGGTCCTGAATTTTGTTATTGTATGTGGTTTTGTCCATGACAGTGGCATTGCCCTTATCTCTTCACTTTTCTGAAGAGATGCCGTGACACTCGGGATAATACTGATCGCCTTTACACTGACATCTGCTGCTGTCACTTCTCCTAATGCTAAACAGATCTTGTTCAGGGCTGGCCTCGCCCTGATCACAGAGAGAATAAGATTGCTCCGATTTGAACAAGACAATTTAGACAATACTCTCTTGCAATCGCACTTAACATTGACAGCAACATGTCTACATATGATTGGGACCATGTAGATAACATGACAGCCTCTTCAGCTGCCTCAATGGCAGCTAGATGCAAAGATAACCTGATTTCCAAGTTCAACCTCCTTTCCAAGAAGCCAGATCCACACGTAAAAAATTTAGACTGACAAGATTGTTATCACTCAGAGTAACAGCCCAATTTTCGCTTACATTGACATGTTAATCTCTCAATACAATGGCCACCTCCACAGCTGCGTCGTCATGAAGGTATATCAGCTCTCCGATCTTACATTTATATGCAAATTTCATCTCTTGCCCCGCCCACTTGCACTTGGGTTAAATCCATCTCAAACCTATATAACATCCTGCTTCAGCAGCTCTCCCGCTATATTTTTTCACCTGATGAGGATTGCTTGTTTTGCGATAGAAATGTGATATTTTATATTATTTTTATATGGCTTTACGGAATAACCCAACGAATATATTAAACATTATTTGGTGATGCTGCGTTGGAAGTGGTGCACTATCACAATGAACAAAAAATAACTCGTGCATTTCCTCTTTAGTATAATTTGAGTTATGGAAAGGGGTTTCCTGCATCGAATCGCGGCCATGAATCATAACACCCCCGATTATCATGCAGTAACGTTGGTGATGCAATGGCAGAGATCAGATAGAAACATTGACATGACAGTAATTGCAATGGATGGAACACAAGCTAAAAATTGCAAAGAAGCATGGGACAATATGCTGAGAATTATACCAAGAGAGAAGGACGCATGGGTTAGAGGACACACGCAAATTATTGATATTAATAATAGAGACGATGGCTCTGGTGGAGACTAATGCTGAATAGGCAGCCAAAAGAGGGGGACGAGTGAGCCCTGGAGGGCACCGTGTGCAATTGCTCCATGGAGAGCGGCACGCGTCACCACAGATGGTCACGGTTAGGGGAGGTCTTTTAACAGTCAAGGGTGGAAAAAACTAGATTTTTTTTGATAATTTTATCGGGTTATTGGTTTTATTTAAAACCCCCGATTTTGTCGAAAGAAACCATGGTTTTAATCCGGCAAGTCAAGTTGTCAATCGGCTCCAGAGTCATCGGATTCGCTGTCCTCTTCGATCTTCTCAACCGCGCCGTCGAAGAAGGCGAGAATGTTGCTCTTGATGAAGACGAGCTTCTCCACCGACTTCACGCACGGGCTGTTCCTCAGCTTGCGGAGTGAATGAAGGCCATGGTGGAGAATTTCCTCTCGGATGCGGCACTGGACGTGGCAATGCTGAACAGCTTGACGGTGACCTTTTGCAGCTCAGGCCACTCACTGCCATCGGACAGCCAATACTCCATCGGCGTCTTGCGACCTTTGACCATCATCTTGTAGCGGGACGTGTTGTCTTCTCCTTGGTGGGGGCTAAGATTATAGGGATTAACAGGCAATAAAACCGAATAAAACCGGATTTTTGGCCATCAGAGATTATCTGTTTTTTAAAAAATTAAAACCATGAAAAACCCGATGGAAAAAACCCGATGCTGGCAGCCTTGTTAGCAGTGGATACTGGCCAACGATTTTTTTAAACATACATTGTGAATTTACATGCTTCTGCAAAAATTACCTAAATGCATTGCAAAACTTTATTTGCAGAAGATATATTAATGCAACATTAATTGTGTGCACCGTTCAAGTTCTGCTTTGTTTTTGCCAATTGCTTTTTTGTACCTTTTTTTCGTTTTGATGACCCCGGGTCACTTGCAAATGAGACGATCGTCGCGTCGTGTGTTCTCGTCGAGTTAAAATAAAATCAACTTGGCCCTGAATCTTGTTGGACACGGTCAGACAGCGCAGACGGCAGCGCCAGTTACTTAATTCGAGACGTCGCTTACACGCGGTGCTGACGTCACTGTTGTTGCCAAGTCCCTGTTAGCGGAAGTTCGTCACGCGGCGCTGTCACTCGCGGTGGGGGGTGGGGGGGGCGATCCCCGCACGTCACGGCCTCGTTTGGCAGCGAAGTGGTGGTGGGAGGTGCGCGGACGTCACGTGACGTCGGTTGGGGAGTTTGCATCACGTGGTGTCGGTTTTACGTCACGTGGCTGCAGGGGAAGGGGGGCAGCAGAAGGGTTTGGAGGAGAGGCGAGAGAAGAGCGGAGGAGGAGGTGGAGGAGGAGACCCGAGAGTCGGCGGACCAGAACTCCGAAGACGCACGCCGCCGGGCGCCATGTCTACGGCACACGAACTCAAAGAGCAGGGCAATCGCCTGTTCGGCAACAGGAAATACGACGATGCCATCCAGTGCTACACCAAGGCCATTGTGAGTGACGCGGACGTGATGGTGGTGGTAGTGGTGTGATAGTTGTGTTTAGTAGCGGGGTGGGTGGTGGTGATGATGGTGGTTGCGGTGGTAGCGACGGTGGTGATGAGTGCTGGTGGTAGTGTTGATGATTGTGATGCAGTAATTGTGGTGCTGGGAGTGAGGATGCTGATCATTGTGGTTGTGGTAAAGATGATGGTTATAATAGTGATATTTGTAGTGAGGGTGGTACACCAAGCCTGGCACAAGCGCCATGGTGACGTCACACGGCGTTTGTTGTTGGTTGTGCTGTCGCTGGCGCCCGCTCACCACTACCTGGCAGCAGTTGTTGATGCCCTCTCCCCTCTTGTCTGGTTCCTCCTCGCGAGGCGTTCTTCTCTCAACAGGGAGTGAGCAAATACTGTGCGCATTACAAGTTTAAATTATATAAAAATTACATTAACCCATGGTAGTTGTACTCATGATGGGAGTTGTACCAATGGTGATTATTAATGATAGTGGTGATGCTTTAGTGCTGTGGGTGCTGGTGGCGATGGTGGTGGTAATTATGGTGGTGGTGATTTATTGGTGATGTAAATAATTTTAGTGATGCATTTGTGTGTTTTATAAGTGGTTAATGTGGTGGTGGTAATCATCGTTATGGTTGTATTATTTTGTTCGTGGTGGTGAGGTGATTTATTATATTCATCATTGTGATGTGGTTGATAGCGGTGGTTATGATGATCGTGGTGATAATGCTGATTGTCATATATCTGGTGGTGGTGAAAAATAATTGTTATGGTGATTATAACGACGGTAGTGGTCGTGGTGATGGTTGTGGCATTTATGGTGTTCGAGGTGGTAAGTGATGAGGGCGACTGCGATGGTAATTATGATGGTGGTCGTGGTGGATGGGCGATCGTAGTTTTGATAATATTGATTGTATCATGATCATGCCGGCAGGGCCTCTGGTGGGGTATAACGGCGCTCGCGTCGCTCATGCGGGGTGCATAGGGGTGTGGGAGTGGACGTGCCTCGGGCCGTTGCGATAATCTAACGATCGCCTCGCCAGGGGCAGGGGCTGTTTTTATCGCTGCCAATCAACAGGAGACGTGGAAGCTGATGCTGTTGCCCTCACTGTGTCTGCTGTGTACACAGTGCTATGCCAGTGGAGACGTCTGACATTGACAGCAGCATTTCGAGTGGGCACACCATCAATGTTAACTACACTCGGGGTTTATGTTTCGGCATTTACAGTGCGTCCATTGGAAGTTGCAAGTGCATTTTGCTAAACCAGGTGAGACCTGGGTACCATATATGACAAAAGCAATAACGTAAAAACAAATTACAAACATAAAGCAAATTAAAATCATAGCAAAAGCATCCAACTTCAAATTAGGTCAAACAACTGCGTTTCAGAAAAATCGAAAACAGTGCACATCTATGAATCGCTAAATAAAATACATTTTTTGCTATGAAAGTTGGCTCGGACAAATTACTTTTAAAGTCTTCATATTTACATTAGGTTGCAGAAACATCTGAATGTATTTAGTATGCTTATTACACTAATATATACACAGACAAGGACATGTGTCACAGACATTGATTTACCAGAAATATAGAGCACTGCTATCAGCTATGACGGCGAGGCTCTTCACTAACACTTGGGATCACACTCAAATGACCAGAAGGCTAACCACTGGTGGCTCGCACTGATTCTTTGAGTTGGACTACAACCATTCAGGGGTTTTACGAGCTCTAATGTTACTTTAGCAGATGTTATCAATTGGTTACCCAGTATTACAGTTGATATGCCCATATAATATTTTTTTTAAAGCTGTTTACAGTTTCAGACTTGTAGTAATTTTACTACAGGTGCAAACATTAGTAGGGATGTTGGTGGTTCGAAGGCTCAGGTAAGCTCCACAGTTTCTGACAGGAGTTTGTAGCAATGTGCTGTGTCAGTGAGGGTGTCTAACGTTGACCAAAGCCGTTCACTTATGGATAAGACGACATGTTACAGGTTTCCTTGCAACTAGAATATGGTGTGTACTGTACTATCTCTACGGCAACATATAGAGTGGTTGCTCAGCGTTATTACCGCTGCTAACCCTTACTTGGTAGCATTCGTGTTGTTTTTCTGCACTGAACTTGAATTGTGCTTCATTCACTTTCTTGTATCTGTATCAGATCTTGCTCATTCATTGGCTTAGGAAACAACTGCAGCTAGTTACAGTGCTGCAATTCAATATAATGCAGATACACAGCTCCCCAGTGTTGAAAAAGTGTAAAACAAACATATATCTCTGGTTGTTTGGACAATGCAATAGTTTCTATATTATATTATAAAGTTTTGCATCAAACTAAAACTCGTGTCTCTTGAGTATGGTTCTAGCCTATAAACATCTTGTAGTTCAAGCAACCCTGGTTCTGCTGATGAGATGCTGGATATTGAACTGGTTTGGGGCTTTAAGTTTAAGTTTCTTTTATTTGTTACACGGATTATCTTTCTTAGCCAATTAGCCAGCCTATTTTAAAAGGGATATGCATACTGCATGAGCACAGAAACAACCAAACAAAGACACAAGCTTCGATTTAAAGCTTTCGTGGCTGCAGGGATTCATCTTCTTGGTTCTTTTGGTAAAGTCACGTAGAAGGGAAATAATAAAATAATAAAAATAAAACATAATAAAATAATTCTCACGACGTTTCGGCCACAACGCAAGCAGCCGTCCTCAGGTGAAGACCAGGTCTGTCGGGGAGACAGCGTCTTCACCTGAGGATGGCTGCTTGCGTTGTGGCCGAAACGTCGTGAGAATTATTTTATTAAGTTTTATTATTATTATTATTTTATTATTTCCCTTCTACGTGACTTTACCGAAAGAACCAAGAAGAAGGGGAAAAGACACAAGCGTCATTATTACAGAGAACGAGTACAGGGCTAACACACGGTGTACTCAACGGTTGTAGATGAAACACGGCATCAAAAACAGTGCAAATGTTATATGCAAATGTTTTGTACAAGTGTATACAAGCTCTATAGTTTAGTCAAACAGTGACATAATCAGACGCAAGTCGAAAAAGACAGTGCAAACTTGTGGGAGGAAGAGGCGCCATAACAAGTTGGGTACAGGTGGAACTATGCTCTGTATCTTGGTTTGATGGGGAAGTAAAGAGGGGGAGTGGAAGGAAGGGATCCAAGCTTATATATGAGGGCCAAGGGTATTCCAGAAACGTGGAGCAGCAACACAGAAAGACTTGACCAAGCAAAATTCGAATAAGGAGGTGCTTACGAGGCAATTGGAGGGAGTTAGAGGAACTAAGTGGTTCTTTAGGTAATTGGCGGATTTGTTTTAAGAGGACCTTTAGGATGAAGACAGCCCAGTGATGGTCTTTCCGGATATCCAGGTGGACGGGTTTGAGCTAATGTACATGTAATGTGTCCAACTGAGTCGCAGACTTTGTTCCTTTTAGAGGCAACACTTTTATTTCATAACAAAAGGGGTAATTGCCCTTTTACCAGACTACAGCGATTTACTGCTACGAAGGGTCGATCCCTCACTCGGGTCTTCCGACCACGTGGTTGCCTCGTAGGATGGAGAGCTTCAGCTTGAGATGTAGAGCCTCCCACTTGTACATGTTGAGCTTCCAGCCTGTAGAATGCAGCGACCCCAGTCCCTCTGACGGACTTGCCTTATATCCCTCTCCGGTCAGGGCCGCTCGGCCACGCCCTTGGCCCGGCCTACCTTGCTGAACATTCTTGTTCCCTCTCGATCCTTTTCAAGAGCTCTCTCCGAACATGGGATCACCCACTAGTCTCCCCACCTGGTGCCTGCTGTGTGGACATTCCGGATCACGTGTGTACGGGGTCAACCCAGAGTGCCACGGCCCGAGGAAACCCTGCCCCTGGGCTGACACTCACCCCCTCCCCCTCGGGGAGCCCCCACTACACACTGTGTGTGGTGCCCGCACTATCCCAGTACTCGCCATGCCCCGCTAGGGCTGGTATTACACACAGCCATCCACACGGTGCTGTCCACGATGTAGGAACATCGAACGGCATGACCCTTCCAGGCCAGCACCATATAATGACATCCCTGATGTTACTACATACAGGTTGCAATATAATTTCAGGTACGGGATGTTTAATGTTATTTCATTTACCGTTTTTTTGGCTAAAGTAAAAAAAATGGTGTCTGAGACCTCAAGGTAACATTTATATAACAATTTTTTTTATAACTTTGTTGTTTTGAGGAATCGGAGGTGAATTAATGCAGATGTAGAGACGTAAATAGCGTCTCTACGGCGTATAAGCCGACTACAACCACAACTGGTAAATTAGTGTGCACGTACCTCTCTATGGGGCCGACAGAGACATGGCGGGGAAGCAGGGCATACAGAGCAGGGTCCCATCTCAGAGAGAAAGAGGGGACGTGCTGACACGGAGTAGTGAAGGGGGCCCGGAAACGGGGGCCCAGAGGACATGTGACGCTAACTCCGGTTCTGTCACAAGAGACCGAGGAAAGGGCGTGGCCGGAGGCGGAGCAAGGCCACGCTCGAGAGAATAAGAAGGACGGAGGCGGAGCGATCAGGGTTGTCTGGCGGGAAGAGCTTACCATGTGGCATTGCTTCGGGGGTCTTGGAGCGTCGGTTGTCAGGACTCGGTTTACATAAAGACCCCTTTGGAGGTCTAGAATAACCCCGAGTATTGTTAGCCCGTAGCCCTGTTCAGTTAATAAATCGTGGTGCCTCCAGACTTCTGTGTGTGCCTCGTGAGATACACACACTACATCTGGTGCCAGAAGTGAAAATACTTTATAGCTAGGTGATGGCGTAGTCTTAAAATGTACACCAGAAGAAGACAACCTACCAGGGCTTCTTCGGAGGAAGAGGCCGAAGAGGGGGGGATCCCCCAGACAGCTCCGGGCAAGGCGGCCCCGGAGATGGACCGTGAGGGGTTTGGGCCTGTGGAACAGCGCCAGGAACGCGACCTCGCCACGCCACCAGCAGCGGGGAGACAC